ATCAAGACTTACTTTGCATTGGAAAGAATTTTTCCACTCTTCCCACAAATAGAAAAATTTGTTAGATAAGTGAAGAGTTTCCTGATACTATTGTTATTATAATTTGGGATTTCTACAAATTTAGGGGGTTTGTAGCTGACAGTATGGAAGGAAGATAGAAATCAGGACTGCTTTAACAGGTGTTCCACAGAGGTGGTAGTTATTTGAGGTAAAGTCTTTAGGCTGCTTCAGTTTAGTTTCTCTCTTTTATTGGAATGGGCAGTAAACCTGAAGACTCTCAAAAAGGTATGAATTTCAAGCAATAGGAACCTCCGGACTGAAGCGTATTTCAGACTGACTTGAAACTTTTTAAAGGCTCTAGGCAGGAAAATTTAGGCAGGGTGGGGAAGCAATTATAAAATGCCTACTATAGGCTAGACCCCATGTTAATATTCCAAAGATAAATATAACTAAAGTTTACATAAAATAGAAAGTCCCATTTGGAGAAAAAGACTGATATACGCAATTGTGCTAATCAGATTTGCATTTTTGAAAAACCCCTTTGGGCATAGGAAAAAATGACTTTGTGGGGTTAGGGTTAGTTAAGAAGTTAAGAAATTAAACCAAAGTATTAGAGTAGAAATAGAAGGAAGGGGACAGGTTTAAGAAATGTTAGAGATGCATTTCATGGCTGAATGTGAAAGGTAGGAAAGAAAGAAGTATCAACAGTGACTTCCATTTTTCTGGTGTGGTCAACCTAGAGGAGAAAAGATGAGTGCTGAGAGTGGGCGGGACGGCTGAAGGTGTCAAGCTTGCCGTCTATGGGACACAGACATCCAAAAGAAAGTTCAGGTGATAGATTCAGAACATAAGAGAGAGATTGTGTCTGAAAGTATAGATTTTAGGGTCTTCATACATACATGATCATTGAAGCCAGGGATGTGGCTGATATTTCTTAAGGAGGATGTGTAGAAGAAAATGGCAAAGGATTGGCAAAGAAAGAAAATTGTGGGAAAAGCACTTAGAAGAAGTAGACAAGATAATTAGAGAATAATTAGAAGACGATATGCTATGAAATCCAAAGTAGAGAGGACTTTTCAAGAAAGGAGTAATCCTAACTAAACTTATTGTGGTAAATATTTCACAGTATTTACACATATCAAATCATCATCCTGTACAACTTAAACCTAAACAGTGGCGTATGTCAATTATATCTCAAACTAGAAAAAAAAACGGGGTGATAAATGATGTAATATGCTTTAGAGAGTAAAAATGAAAACTATTTTTTTTATTTGACTAAGTTAAGATGGCATAAGGTAAAATAGCAATTTGAAATAGTAAAGGTTAAACAGAAATTAAAGATCAGAGTAATAAAATTAATCAATCTGATAAGTACTTTAAATTACCAAAACCATTCAAGAAAGAGCAGGAAAAAACAAAATGAGAAATGAATACACTATAAACACAGAAGGAATTTATTTGAATTGCAAAGTAACACAAAAATCTATCTTTAAAGAATTTTATTTGTAAGGCTAATGTAACTCTCATGCCACAACCTGACAAAGATACCACAAAAGAAGAAAATTAAGTTAATCACATCTATGAATGTAAGTGTAAAGTTTAAATTAAATATTAGCAACCAAGATTTATTTAGCAATTTTTTTTAAGAGTCTGCTCTCCATGTCTGTGCCATAATTAATGTTGGTAATACAGTATCTGCCTTTGTGAATTCTTATTTTGAGTGGGAAGGTGGACATGAAAACAATTACTTTCATCATGACATTTTTGGACTGCAAATACAGCGTGCTGTGAATTCTCATAATACATCTAACATAAGCACAAGTTTCCTTCTGAAGGACGTGGGAGCCTAGTTGTGAGTAACAAGTAGGAGTTGGCCATTAGATACATGGAAGGACACACATACACACACCACTACCTCTCTGAAGGCCCAGGGACCAAAGAGCATGACATGTTAAAGAGTCACCATGAGAATAAGTAGGATCGGGAGAAGCCTGGAGAAACCAGAGCCTGATTCTGAAGAGGCTTATTTGTTCTTGCTTACTGGTTGAATTTTTATTCTGTAGGCAGTGGGGACCATTGAAGGTTTTTAACTCAGGAAATAAAAACTATGTATTTTAGTAAGCTCACAGTGTTGACGTTTTGAAGAGTAGCTTAGAGATACATGAGACTAGAGTCACACAGTTAAGAGACCTAACAGTATCTCGAGCCATAGGCTCAAGGACTCAAACCAAGGCTACTGCAGTGAGGATGGAGAAAAGAGATTTAATGATTGAAACAACGTAATTTAGTGGTCCACTTGGATGTGAAGGTTAAGGAAGAGAGAAATTAAGAATGTCCAGGTGTCCAGCTTTGGTATATGGTATTAAATAAAAATTATTTATGACACTTGTTAGCAATGGTAAGGCAGACTATTCAGTGGGGGCGGGGGCGGTTTTCTATTACAGTGGGATTTTGTAGCAGAGAAGAAAGATTGGATTCAATTCCAAATATAGCAAAGAAAAGTGGGAATTTATAGCCAAGGAGCAGGGTAGGGATCAGTGGATGGAAAATTACTGAGAGGAAATATCAGGGATAAGGGGGGATTCTGGCTAAACCAACCTAACGGTTTCTTCTCGAGGCAGGCCAAGGTGATCAGACATCACCTGGGGCATGGTAGAGGATAAAGAACCTGATCAGATATTCGGTATCGGGGGATTCTGGTTAAACTGACTTAGTAGGATTCTTGCTTAAAATTGGATAATACAGAGACAAACGTGAAAGCCCACGAGTCAGCCTAATTAAGAGTTCAGATCATCCTGAGTAGTTTGGTCAAAGAGATATTCTTTGTCAGTGGTAAGGTTCTAAAACCTTGATATAGAATACAAAGAAGGGTGTAGAACAGAGGATTTCAGACTGGGATATGCTTAATTTCAGGCCTCAAAGTGGAGAATATTCAGTGGGCAATTGGACTTTGGAGACATATAGATAGAGATATTTTTAGCATACGTATAATTAAATCCAGGAGATTTCCCAGGTGTGAGAATGAGAGAGCGCTCTCCCAAGTGAGCACATGAGAATACAGCCTAGATGAAAATCCTGGGAGAACATCCACATCCAAAGTATAAGCAGAGAAAGAGAAATATATATGAATTAGAAGCACCGAACCTCCCAAGACTTAATGAGGAAACCAGGAGTTTCCATGGTCTTATCAGTAACTACAAATGTCACTCAGATTAAGTCTAAAAGGTGATGGTTAACTCTCGTAATTAAGGTGTTCCTGGTGCCATTTGCAAAAGCAATTTCATGAACCAGAGGAGCCAGAAAGCATATTACTGTGGATTGAAGTTTGAATGGTAAGAGAGGAAGATACTGTAATCGAAATAGACTATTTTTCATGGACTACTACAAATCTGACCATTACAAATGTTTGAATCTAAGGAAAGGAGATGGAACAGTAGCTAGGAAGTGGTGTATGAAAAAGTTTTTTGGGTTTTGTGATTTTGTTTTGTTTTTTAATGTGGGATGGTGTTGTTCGGTTTTAAAGATGAGGGAGAGAGTTCAAGGGAAAGAGTTCGGTAAATAAATAAATAAAATTAGGAACAAAAGGCACTGATGGATTTGAATGTGGTCCATGAAGAAATATAAAGGCATGGGACCCAGAGAAGAGCTGGAGGGGTTACTTTTCTTCATGAAGAAAATGTGTACCCTGCATCCTGACACTGGAAGGAAGAAGGAAACGTCCTGTGTTAGTTGGCTGGTTGATTCGTTGGTTGAAGGCAAGAAGTGATGGAATAGTGGCTTCTGTCTTCTCAGTTATAGAAGGAAAAAATAACCTAAATAAAGTAACTAATGATATCATTTTTGCTTATAAGCAGCTTAAGAGCACAAGAAAGAGAGAGGGAAAGAAAGAAGGAAGGAGGAAGGAAGGAAGAATGCCAAATAGTAGTTCTTTGGGGCTGCAGAACTACTTATTGGTGATTATTGTTTTCTTTAGTTCTTCCCGTTTACCACAATGGAAATAGGTACTTTTGTTGTCAGGGGAAAAAAGTGTTTAACTGATAAAACTTTAGTAAAGCTGACATAGAAAATAGAGCTGCTCGGATATAAGTAAACACATTTGATCAACCATGAGGACCTAGTGTCCTGAACTTACTGAAGGTGAATTTAATGAAACAATTTGTTTAACTTAGTAACTACTTCAGAAGTAATATATCTTTAGACTGTAAGCCAAGTTTAAACTTTTAGTAACTCTAGTCTTTAAAATTCGAAAGGCATGTGGTATAGAAAAACTCCTTGGAGTTAGTTTTGAGTTCTGGGCATATGCTAGTTGCATGATCCTGAGTAAACAGCATTCTTCCTAGCCTCACTTCTCACTTGTAGAGTAGGAAAGGAACATCCCTCACAGGAGACTTTGGATGATTGAATGAGAAATACTATATGCAAGTTTCCTTTTACAGAAAGATGTAAATTTATTTATATATTTTACTATTTATTATTTATTACTATTTTCTACTTCCTGTTGGAAATATCCTCTTGGTCCAGGTAAAAAACATTCTGTATTAGTTACTGGTATTAACTGGTATCAGCACCTGTCAACAGGAAATGAACTTAAGGAACATATTCTTTTTTTTTTTTCCCTCAGTTTTGGTTTCAGCAGACCTTAAGGCTCAAGCTTTAACAAGATTAAATGCAGTTACCTTATTACTGTTTGTAATAATGCATTGACTTTAACCAATTAGCAAACATCAAATAAAATCAATATGAATGGTTCTCTTTAACATCCCAGGAAGTAAACACACAAATGGAAGCTAGATCACTAACTGAAGTAGATAAATAAAGCAAGGCTTCAAAACAAGAGAGCAAAACAATTTATATTTATTAATTAATATAAAAATATTAATAGCATATGTAATATCTACATAATATGTATATGAGAGCTTAAAAAGCGCTCTCACTGCTACCAGTAGAAAAACAGATATTGGTATCTTTATTTTGCTGAGAATTATTCCAGATTTTTTCATTTATTAAAAAATGTTTGATGTATAGTTATGATTTCTCAACCAAAGTTTTATTCCCCAAGTTAAATACAATGATAACAGAAAGCAGGAGAAGTGTACGAACTCTCAAAGAAGAAGTTCAAAAGCTGGATGATCTTTATCAACAAAAAGTTAAGGTAAGAATTTTGCCACAGTTTGTATAGATTAGCCAAAGCCATGTCATGATTGATGGACTAGGCACCTATTCTGACATCAAACTGAAATCTTTAAGCTACATCCTGTAACTTGTACTTTAGTTTAATCTCCTTATCCAGAGTTTATTATAAGTAATTATTTTGTTCTTCTAAAGAACTTATTTATGGAATTGGGCTGTTTCACCATAGAATATGTTTACTATTCCATTAATATTTTATACTTGCGGAGTTTTTTTTTTTAATATATTTGGGGCAGGGGGAAATGAGGTTTATTTATTTACTTATTTTAATGGAGGTACTGGGGAATTGAACCTAGGACCTTTTGCATGCTAGACACACTCTACCACTGATCCATTCCCCCCCCCATACTTGGGTTTGTGATTCAGTATCTTTGCAAGACCAAAACATGTTTTAAACATAATCTCTTCTACCTTTTTATAGAGAGTTAGTGTTAAGTACTCCTAAAACTTGAACCCCAGTAAGGCTTTTGTAAAAGTGATGGCCCATAAAGAGTCGTTGCAAACTGACTATCTTGGCCAAATTCCAAAGACCATTTACATGAAATTTGGAATATAGGTAAATAATAATCATTCTCCACCACCTTTAGGCTACCTTCTGACCAGCATTTTACTTAGGAAAGTTCTTGTATGACTGTGCATTACCACATACACAATTTATGTGAAAATTTTAACCAGTACTTTTTACTTAGTTATACCAACAAACTATCAAGAAATGAAAACTTTTCTCTTGAGCTGTATTATATTTAGGGCCTATACATTTTTAAGCAGTGTGTAATTTTTAGAAAATATGCCACAATAATATGATTTACATGTGAAATATGAGGCATTTGGTATACATTTTTATTTTTTCATATGTTCTCCATGATAATACTTCAGTTTATTCTCTAAAGCACTTAAATGACTTTATCACATTTCATATTGATAAACCTAGGAATTGATGAATTTGAGTTACTTTGCCTATATATAATTAATACATATGTGAATTGATGGTTGTGTGAAAGTTACCCACATTTAGACCTATATAAAGGGCTTCTTTGATGCTCATGGGAAAAACGTAAATCAGAGTATTATAAAATTTCCTATAGTACAGACTGTTAACTGCTAAATGAATTCTATACTTTTTGAAAGTGTCACATTTATGTTTGTAATATAAAATTTCCAGAAAGAACATTTAAGTCTTCTACAGGTAAAGCACTAAGCATCCTGTGAATACAAATGATGATGCAACCTGAAATTTTAGATGCTTTACAAAAATTGTTAAAAATCCACCTGGAGTGCATAGAATGTACATATCAAAAAACCGTGACCATGACTATCCTGATAGGAAGCTGAGGAAGAGGACAGAAAGTGTGCCAATGAGCTGGAGTCCTTGGAGAAACACAAGCACCTGCTGGAGAGTGCGGTTAACGAGGGCCTCAGCGAAGCTATGAATGAGTTAGATGCCATTCAGCGGGAGTAAGTTCATCTCGCCAAGATTTATAATGTTTATTTTCAGTTGAATTATTTAACATTTTTATAAAACTAGATAAGTTTATTTGCTTTAATGTATATTGTAGAGCTGTTTTGGGGAGAGGAAGTGATGAGTTAATCCATAGGCTCTATGTTAATTTATATTAAAATATACTCTTTTTTTTAAGCATTAAGAAGCTCTCAAAAAACTTTTTAAAAATCTTTCTTTGAGATTGGGAAATACAATCCTTAAGAAAATCACACCTCTTCGTTCCGTTATTTGTAGCCTAGGGATAGAAAACTGAGTTGAAGGAGTTTTTGGCTTACAGTTTTTGTTTTTAATTTGAATTCGAATGCCTAAAGATAACACTCCTGTTCCCTTAATTACATGTATTTAATGTCTTGTCCCTGAAAGCATTTAAGTTTACAGTCCTTTTGGAGACTCTGGTAAAAATAATTCTGTTCCCAAGCTTTGTATGTAAAAGCACAAGGCTTTGGTGCTGTTGCTTGCATGGGATCTTTGAAAATGTTTTTATTTCTGTTTTAATGATTGCAAACTGGACCTCTATGAATTATACACAGGGCAAGCAGCACATATACCAATCGCAGCCTGGTTTTATTGGATATGAAAATAAGTAAGCTAACTAGAACTCATATTAGGTTTTATCCTAGACAACTAAAACGAGATTTTATTCTACAGATACCAACTAGTTGTGCAGACCACAACTGAAGAAAGACGAAAAGTAGGAAATAATTTGCAGCGTCTTTTAGAGATGGTTGCTACACATGTAGGATCTGTTGAGGTAGGTGTGTGAAGTTCTTTCCTACATTCTAAGAAAGCTTTTTAAAACTTTGATATATTTCTGTTTTGTTTCTACAGAAATTAAATGATAAATTTTATTTCTATGGAAAATATGATCTAGTAACAATATAGCAGAATTTTGTATAGCAGTATGCATTTTGTAAAGTAATTTTTTTTACATAGGTTTACTGTACAACCCAGCAATTCTACTCCTAGATATCAACCCACCAAAAGAAATGAAAACACGTCTGCACAAAGGCTTATAGACAAATGTTCATAGCAACATTATTCAATAATTGCTAAAAAGTAGAAACAACCCAAATATTCATTAACTGGTGAATGATGTACCCATCCACTGGGATATGATTCAGCAATAAAAGGAAAGAAGCAGTGATACATGCTATAATGTGAATGAACATCAAAAACATGCTCAGGGAGAGATGCAAAAGTCCACATATTTATGACTCATATGAAATGTCTAGAAAAGGCAAATCCACAGAGGCAGAAAGTAGATTTGTGGTTGCCAGGGGCTGGGTAGAAATCAGGGCAGATGGACACAAAGATTGCAGTTAAGATGGCACAACTCTATAACTTTACTAAGTTACTCCTGTTGTTCCTTAACATTTGTTTGTTTTTATTGAGGTATAACATACCAAAAAAGGTGCACAAACCTTAATAAAAAATAATTTGTTTCATTCACATGAACAACATACAGTGATATTTATTACATCAACAGTATAGAATGATGTTGTGCCAGGCCATATTCTACATACTGAAAACATTAGTACATTTAGGATTTAATTAAGATTAAGCTGAAAGACCATATGATAGTGACAAATTTTTTCCTGTTAAAAAGCAAAATTCAACTGAGTAAATTTGAAGATCAAATTGGCCTTATTCAGTGATTCATCAGTTGGGCTGTACCCCATCTAGCAAATAGAAAGAAGCTCCAAGGAGCTATAGAAAAGGAAAAGCTTTTAAAGGCACAGAGGGATTTGGGTAAGGAAGTCTTAAATGAAAAAAAGGATTAGTTCAGACAAAGTTACCTCCTTTGTGGGACAAAAGGTTTTATTAGGCAGATGGCCTCACTGGTGCTGACCAGGAAATTCTAGACAGACCAGTTAAGATTATATTCCCGGGGAAGGTTGAAACTACAATTAAGTTAGGTATTAAGTCCCAGTTTGATGACATGGACTTAGCACAAGTGACTCCATTTTGGGCCTGTTGTTTCTTTTTAACGATTCCCCTCTTTTTATCAGACTCTCAGCTTGTCAGAGAGACTTGATCAAATTTTATGGCATTAGCACCACTCTCAGCTATTGCTTGCAGCTTTTGTTGATCCTTTGTGTGGTATTCATAGGTCACGCTATTTTTGCTTAATGCCTGTGACATTCTGAAGACTCGGATCGAGGTTCACAATCCTTAAATCGGCCATTCTCTTCACTTCTTTATTGATGTTCTAGTCTTAGAGAGGTCATTTGCTTGGTGGTTAGCAGCTGCAAACATGCATTTAAAGCTTTTGAGAAAAACGTAACGCACTAGGGAGACCATTATGATTAGAATAAGCAAGATAATCCACAAGTAGTTGGAGTGCACTTTGGAGACATAGTTCCCCAAAACCCAAACCAATCAAAACCATATGTCAAAGAAAGATGTCACTGAAGGACGTTTTTAAGCCAAGTGGCTTGCTCAGTGATCTCATATAACCGAGTTTCAACTTCCCTTGAAGTGGTACAGATATAGCAGGTGATGTTGGCCATAATACAAACACTTTCTGGCTCAGCTAAAAGATAATCAAAGGCTTTCCTATTATCAGGAACAACTTTAGCCAAAGAGTCTAAGGAATTTTGTTGGGTACCTATTGCTTTAGCAGCAAATTCCATAATACTTTCAAGAGTTAACGAGAGGTAGCTGATCATAGCCTCAATTGCAGTTACTCATTTACCAGGAAAGTAGGGTCTTGTTAAAGGAATCAGATCCAGAGTCATGAATGCTTCCTGGTAATTCCCATTTGAATCTGTGGCTTAGGACTGAAAAGGTGTCAACCATTGAGACCAGTAAAATTTTTTTTTATTTTTTAAATTTTTTTATGGAGATACTGGGGAATGAACCCAGGACCTCGTGTATGCTAAGCATGTTCTCTACCACTGAGCTATATCCACCCCGCAAGACCAGTGAAATATTAATCATCTGTGGAACACACAAGCCGTTTTATTCTGGTTACCCTTGCCTTGTGTCACTTTCTTTGTATTGAGCCTGGACACAAAATTCCCCAAGTTTAGGTTTGTTAACCAGAAATGGGGAAATGGACCAGGATTTTCTTGCATCATGAACAGATCAGAGTGTTTTTTTAAATGACAAATCCAGCAGTTTGAAAGATTATCCTCCTGAAGAGTTGTAAACTATAAAGAATACCCAGAGTTGAAGAATAAAATCACTGAAGTGAGTAACACACTAGAAGGAACCCAGAATAGAATAAATAAGGCAGACAAACGGATCAATGAGCTAGAAAACAGATTAGTGGAAATCACTACCACAGAACACAAAAAAGAATGTAAAGAAGTGAGGATAGTTTAAGAGAACTCTGAGACAACATGAAGTGCACTAATATTCACATTATAGGGATCCCAGAAAGAGAAGAGAGAGAAAGGACCTGAGAAAATTTTTGAAGAGATAATAACCAAAAACTCCCCCAACTTGGGAAAGGAAACAATCACACAAGTCTAGGAAGTGCAGAGAGTTCCACACAGAATGAACCCAAAGAGAAACACACAAGGCACATGGTAATCAAATTGACAAAAATTAAGGATAAGGAGAAAATATTAACATTAGCCACAGAAAAGCAACAAATAACATACAAGAGAACTCCCATAAGGTTATCAGCTGATTTTTCAGCGGAAACTCAGCAGGCCAGAAGGGAGTGGCACAATACATTTAAAGTGATGAAAGGGGGAAGCTTACAACCAAGAATACTCTATCCAGCAAAGCTCTCATTCAGACTTGATGGAGAAATCAAAAGTTTCACAGATAAACAAAAGCTAAAAGATTTCAGCACCACCAAACCAGCTTTACAACAAATGTTAAAGGACCTTCTCTAGTCATCAAACTGTAAGAAAAGAGAACAACAAGAAGAAAGAAAAAAAAAGAGAGACCTGGAAAAGTTTGCTTTGGCATTTCAAGGTCTTTTATGGTTCCATAGAAATTTTGGGATTGTTTATTCTAGTTCTGTGAAAAATGTCATATTTTGACAGGGGTTGCATTGGATCTGTAGATTGCTTTGGGTAATGTGGCCATTTTAATAATCTTGATTCTTCCAATCCAGGAGCACAAGATATCTTTTCATTTCTTTGTATCATTTCAATTTCCTTCATCAATGTTTTACAGTTTTCAGAGCATAGGCACCCTCCTTAGTTAAGTTTATTTCTAAGTATTTTGTTGTTATTAATGCAATGGAAATGTTTATGCCAGTTATAAAATTCTGGTTTTAGAAGTGAAAAAAAAAGTGAATGAAGGACCATAAATGGGAAAATATCCTTTGTCATGGGTGAGTTGTATTCCATTACACATATATGCTGCATCTTCTTTATCCATTCATCTATTGATGTGCACTTAGGATATTTCCATATCTTGGCAATTATAAATAATATTGCTGTTGATAATAGGGTGTATGTATCTTTTTGAATTAATTATTGTTTTGTGGTTGGCTTTATTCCTTTGATAACTATGTAAGTTTAAAAAGCTAAAACTCTAAACATTCTTAGAAACAATGAACAGTACATATATGTAAATTATAAAAATATGTGCAGTCTATGTGTGTGTATTTACATGCAGTATATTGTATATGTGCAGTCAAATTGTAACAATTCTACCTAATAAAACTGAAAAGTGGGGGCAAAAAAAAAAAGATTACCCTCCTTAGCAATGATCTGGGAGATACAGATAATGACATTACCTTTTCAGAACAACAGCAGAGTAAAGGAAAGAAAGAGAAGAAGAGTTTAATGTTTAGTTAAAGCCTGAAATCTTAGTCTGGCATTCTCAGTATAGGCAGTCTAACAGTATTCTTCTAATCTAAGAACACGGTGTGTCTTTCCATCTGTTTGTGTTATCTTCAGGGTTTTTTGGGGTTTTTGTTTGTTTGTTTTGTTTTTATCAGGGTCTAATAGTTTTCTGAGTACAGGTCTGTTACCTCTTCAGGTAAATTTATTCCTAGGTATTTTATTTCTTTTCATGCAATGGTAAATGGAATTGTTTCCTTAATTTTGCTTTCTAATAGTTCATTGTTAGTGTGTAGAAATGCAACAGATTTCTGTATATTAATTTTGTAATTAAGAAGCATCCCCAAAAGTGGTGTAAAAAATATTTTCTATTCCTCTCTCTACTGGGTACTATAGACAGAGGTCCAGATGAGTTTGGGGTGTTTGTTTTGTTGTTATTGTTGTTGTTTTTTCCAAGATTGCCATTATATATAAAAGCCTTTAGTCAAAATTTTAATTGCCTGAAGCTTCACACTGGACCCAGTCCAACCTAAAGTGGACCCTGTCCTACTCCAGCTAGTAACACCAACAGTTCCCAATCTGGCATCTGGGGATTGGGAAAAGGATTGAACCAGCAGACCTCAACAAATGGGGATTGCAGACCAGGGGCTCCACATCAATGGGGAACTGAGAACTGTTACTAACAGCTCCCATGTGGACAGAATCAATGGCTGGGGTTTCCAGTCAGATAGGAAAGTATGGAAAGTCAGTTATATTGAGGGCTTGACACAAAGAGAACAGAGAAGAGCTTCCCCACAACCCTCAGAAACAGCACGGAAGACCATGGACTCAGGGTGTGCGGGCACCACACCTACATTTCTCGTTGTCCCCAAAACCCCATCAGAAGTTCATCTCAGATCCCATTGCTGCTACTGAAACTGTCAGAAAAATTCAACTGAGTAAATCTGAGGCCTTATTCAGTGATACATGAATTGGGCAGCATCCCGTCAAGCAAACAGAAAGAATTTCCAAGGAGCTACAGAAAAGAAAGAGGCACAGAGGGAGTGGGATAAGTCTTAAACAGAAGAAAAGGATTAGTTCAGGCAAGGTGGCAAGGTCACCTCCCTTTGTGGGACAGAAGGTTTTATTAGGCAGATTACCTCTCTGGTGCTGACCAGGAAATTCCAGACAGACCAGGTGAGATTACATTCCTGGGAAAGATTGAAACTGCAATTAAGTTAGGTATTAAGTCCCATCTTGGTGCCATGGGCTTACTCAAGTGACTCCATTTTGAGCCTGTTGTTTCTTTTTAACATTCCTTTCTGTTAATTTCATATAAACACAAAATAAAGTATTTCTGAAACATGAAGTTTACCTTACCTATACCTTCTGCATAGCTTGAAAGTTAAACAATAAAACCATTCCTCTAATGTGCTATACAGAGCCCAAAATTAAAATCAATTGCTAAATCCAAAATTTTTTTGATAGTGTATTTCCAGTTGTAAATTGTTTAAGGGGAAAGAAACTCATATCACATTAATAGGCTTTCATTTATTTGAAAACGGAGTGTGTAATAGCTTATGTCCCCTCATCTCTCCTGAATTACATTGAACTACTGCTTTCTCACTTGTTAGTACCCTTCCCTGCTTAGTGGTAAGAACTAAGAAAAGCATCCTGGAATACCACATCAGAAAACCTGGCTTCTACCCACTTCTTTCTAGTTCAACCACTTTGTGGCTCTATAACCTTTCATAGATCCTTTTTCAACGAGTATTGTTTACCTAAACCACAGACCAGAAAATAATTCGAGTGATTACATTCCCGGTTGTCAGAAGTCTAAAGTGGGCCCTCGGGCTGCACTCCTAGAAGCTCTAGCGAGGAATCTAGTTCCTTGCTTTTTCCACCTTCTACAGGTCACCTACAGCCCTTGGATTGTGGCCTCTTCCTCTATCTTCAAAGCCAACAGCAGAGCATTGTCTATCCTTTCTGACCCTTATGTCTTTCTCTGACTTCCACACTGCTGATTCCCTTTTGCATCCTTGTGATTACGTTGGACCCACCAGGATAATGCAGAATCTCCTTTTCTCAAGGTATTTAATCATATCAAGAGTATTTTTTTTATTCCTGTTCTTAACATGTTGTGCTCTTACTTACAGATTTCACAATTAAACACTTTAAAAGAAATTAATGTTTTTACATTAACAACTGCTCATTGTTTCCACTAGAAACATCTTGAGGAGCAGATTGCCAGAGCTGATAGAGAATATGAAGAATACACATCTGAGGATCTCTTGGAAAATATTAGAGAGATTGGAGACAAATATAAGAAGAAAGCTGCTCTGCTTAAGGCTTCTAACGAATGAAGACAAAATGTTGATTATCTAAACAGAAACTTTATTAACAGTGTAAATGTTGGAGAAAAACAGTGTAAATGTTGAAATTTCCTTTGTAGGTTTGAAAAGTCTCTAACATATCCTAAATCTTTTTTACACTGAAGTCTCATGGCCACATCTTCCCATGACCATGAAATATTTTTGTATCTTTTATAAATCTAGTTCATTAACTTACAGTATGTATGACCTGAAATTATGATAACTTGTTGGATTGTTATCTTTAGGTATGAAAGACTAGTTATGTTATGTACCTGGAGTTAATAAAATTGCATCCACAAAGTGTATTTTCCCCTAATTTCTCTGCCTAACTTGAGATGGTTAGAAAATAAGTATTTCGAACTAAACCAGGAGTCAGCATGTTAACTGTGGGTCTACTCTAATCACGCCCATTCAGTGACATATCGTCTATGACTGGTTTCACACCACAGGAGCAGAATTTAGTGTGACAGAGATCATATGACCTGAAAAGCCAAAAATGTGTACTATCTGGCCCTTTACAGAAAGTTTGCCAATCCCTGGTATAAACTATACAAAGAATTGGTACTGACTAACTAGAAAACTTTCCTAATCACTTTGGACGTAGTCAGAATCACTCTTCTATGTGTATGTGTATATATGTAAAGAGAGAAAAGCTAAAGTTCTTTCTGACTTCAGGCCATCTTTAGTCTGAAATAAGCAGAATATGGAATGTGAGAATCAGAAGAAATAATAAGCTCATTCAGCCCCCTCATTTTAGAGATGAAAGTTTATTCCTAGAGAAGCTCAGATTTACCTCAGGTCATACCTGTTGTGGTAGAAACCACACTGGATCTTCCTTGAACCCGTGTGCAATTCTGAGTACAGCCACAGGAGTCCTGAAACTTGAATATTCTGGATAGTGAGGGAGTTCTGTTACAAAGTGAGTTTTTTAGATCTAAATTGTGAGGACACTCCTCCTTAAATTGAACTAACATCTGCCTCCAGTTGAACTTTCTATTCTCTTAACTTTATTCTAACTCTAAACCATGTCAGAATGAAGAACATTGGAATTAAATGTTAAGCCACGTACTTTAAGAGCCGAGAATGGGATTCCCACAATGCTTTATGAAGGGAGGGCATTCAGCCAGAGAAAACAGAAACAGACGAGTCATAGTTGGGAGATAATTAACATGATACGACAAGGTTAACAATTACTAGTGTATTCAAGAGTCTGGATTACTGACATCCAATAGAACTGTCTTCAGTGATGGAAAAGAAATACTCTGTCTTCACTATCCAATATATATGACAGAATTAAGATGAACCAGAGCTTTGCCACTCTATGGAAATAGCAGCAGCAACATCACCTGGGACCTGGGAGGTCTTTAGAAATGCAGGCTCTTGGTCTCATCCCAAACCTGCTGAATCAGAATCTGCCCTTTTTACAGTATGTTGACCTAAACTGTATGTATTAAAACTTTTCACAAGTTTTGACATATATATACGCCCTTCAATCATCATCACAATGAAGCTAATGAATATAGCTTTCACCTCTGAAAGTTTCCTCATGGCCCTTGGCAATCCTTTCTCTTGCCCTACCTGACATCTGCCTGACATGCGTATCCAGGCAAGCACTAATCTCCTTTCTCTCACTATAGACTAGTATGCATTTTCTAGAACTTTGTGCAAATAGAATCATATAGTATGTACATTTGTATAGCTTCTTTCAGAAAATTTTGAGATCCATGCTGTGTATCAGTAGTTCATGCCTTCTCATTGTTGAGTAGTGTTCCATTGTATGAATGTATTGAGTTTGTTTAGCCATTTACCTGTTGATGGACACTTGGATTGTTTACAGTTCGGAGCCATCACAAATAAAATCTTTATAAACATTCATGTACAGTGTTTGTATGGACATATGCTTTCATTTCTCTTGAGTCAACACCTGGGAGTGGAATTGCTAGTTCATATGTGGTAGGTGCATATTTAACTTTCATGAAACTTAGCAAATGTTTCCTGAAGTAGTTCTACCATATGTGCCTACCTGCAGTATATGAGAGTTTCAGTTGCTCCACATCCTGACCCACTTACATAGTCAGTCTTAATAATTTAGCCATACTAAAGGTGTGTGGTTCTATCACACTGTGATATTAATTTGCATTTCCCTAATGACCAAAAGTGTTAAGCCCAATTTTTACTGGATTGTTTTATTACTAATTTGCAAGAGTTTTTGTGTATTCTAGACACAAGTCCTTTATCTGACACATGTTACATAAATATTTTCTCTCAGTCTGACTTGCTTTTTCATTTTAATGGTGTCTTTTAAATGAAAGTTTTTAGTTTTGATGTAGCCCAATTTATTATTTTTTTAAATACATTCTGCATTTTGTGTAGCATTTAAGGAATCTTTGCCAAGCCCAATAAATCTTTGCCAACATCACTGTCGTTTACACCTACCTATGTTTTATTCTAGAAACTTTTACCTTTAAACATCATGTTTCTACATTGAAAGGAATTTATACTCAAGAGAGTCTGCACATAGTGAATTGTATAAGAGACCTGTAGCAGTAGTGTATCTAAAGTGATATTTAAGCTACAAAAAGCCAAGTTTTCTTCACGGAAAAGTATCTTTCTGTCTGCTAGTTAAGACTTGCTTTTAGATTAAATACATAGACGTTTCTTACATCTTCTTGACTACTAAATCAAAGTTAGAATTCAAACCTGCATTTTTAAAGGGTCCCCAAATTGTTTGTATATGTTTTAAAATTTAAGATGCACTACTTTAAAAGAAAAAAAATCACTACTAGTTAAATTATCCATAATGTGATTTAAATAATATAGTTTAATAGCAACTTTAGGGATGACAGAAAAGTCCTGAGTTCAACCAAAGTGATAACCTAAGCACAACTTGGGACTGGTTCAAGAAACAAAAGTGATCAGTGTACTTCACTTTTCACTTAACATTTTTACCTCACTCTGCATACTTTCTTCTTAATCCCTAAGGACATGCTTATTTCTAGAACTAACACCATTAAAGCAGATATTGTTCCACTTACAAATCCCAAGAATCCTAGAGTCAGAAAAGCCTTTAGATATCATGCAAGGACGAAGGTCTTGTTCTCATAGGGAACACATACTTACCAAGAGTCAGAGCAAGAGTCCTGTTGCACTATTGGTTACAACTGCCACCAGGACATTTTGGACACCTTGTGCTTGAGGAAAGCAGGAGAGAAAAGGAACCATCATTATGAGAAGGACAAATGATCTGCTCAGCAGGAGGAGCTGAAGCTGCTTTTTCAAAATGGCAACAGAACCAGGTTATCCACGTGGATGCCTGAAAGAGCTCCTTATTCTGTCTTTGACTTTCATGACCTTGGCATTTTTGAAGAGTTCAATAATTTATAGACTGTCCTTCAATTTCTGCTTAACTCATTCTCATGATAAGATAGGGGTATGTATTCCTCGAAGAACACCACAGAACTGATGTTACATTCTTTTCAGTACATGGCTCACTACCGGAATCAGGAGGCCAAAGGGGGAGCTCTCACTCAATATCAATATAGATACCAACGGGAAGAGGTGTACTTTGAATCTCTGACAAGAAGTGACACTACTTTACTACCATAAGCAAGGGGAAGAAAAGCTTTCTTTTTGCCTGGCAACAGTTCAGCCAATGAAAATCCACTATACTTTGAACGTCTCCTCCAATTGACTTTTTGTTTATCACAGCCCCTCCCAACTTCACTTTCTCCTCTATAAAAGTTTCCTCTCCTTTGCTTTACTGAACTTGCATACGGGGAGTTGCAATTCTTTGCTGTCTGGCTGTTTTATTATTTTAGGTTAACAATCCCATCTTGGATTCTGCTTCTAGAAGGACTAGGACAAATACAATTTATAAATCAAGGAGCTGATAATGTTGAGTCTCCCAATGAAAATGCATGGTATGTTTTTCTATTTGTTGAAATCTTCTGTTGTGTTTTTAGAGTTTTCTTCATAACCCTTATAAGTCATTTGACAAAAGTAAACAGCCATTACTAAGGAAAAAAGTCTTAATAAAATAAAAAAATGAATACTTCCTTAACATTATATAATATAGCTAAGTGATTTGTATATATGAAAAATTATTGATTTCTGTATATTTATATAACTTGTCACTGATTTATGAATCTTTTATTATTCAGCAATTTTGATGTTGAGTCTCTTAAGTTTTACAGTTATATAGTCATAATTCCTGCCAATAGTAATAGTTTTACTTACACCTTCCCAATTAATATACCTCCAGTTTCCTTTTTTGTCTATTTGTTTTGGCCAGTAAATCAAATATAATATTAAATATTTATGAGAGTGGCCATTTTTGTCTTGTTCCTAATTTTAGCAGAGATGCTTCAAATATTTCCTCATTAATCATAGTACCAGCTTTTGCGCTGAGTTAGTTATATCATGTTAAGGAAGTACAATTCTCTTTGTTATTTTATTAAGTTTTTTTCTTCATAATGGTTGTTGGATTTTATCAAAGGACTGTTAAGCATCTATGACATTGAAAACATTGTTTTTCTCAATATTTTCATATAATTGTTTTCCCAACATATAAACATCCTTGCATTCCTAGAATAAATTCCACCTAATCAAGATGTCTTTCTTTCTTTTTCTTCCTTCCTTCCTTTTAATGTGCTGCTGGATTACGTTTGTTAATATTTTATTTAAGATTTTATTTTTTGCACTGATATTTATAAGTGAGATTGGTGATCTGATATATATTTTTAAATTTTTCCAGTTTTGATATCAATGTTATATTCACATTAGAGAAAGAAGTTAAACATTTTCCTTCTTTTTAAAATTTATCTGTAAGTAATATAAAAGTATTAGAATTGTATGCTTTTAAAGTTTGATGGAATTCCCCATCTGGGTGCACTGCTTTTTCTGAGTGTAGCTCTTTCACAACTTTACTTATTTCTTCTACATAAATCAGTTTAAGTCTTTGTTGTTTTTTTTTTAATTATTATTGAAGTATAGTTGATTTACAATATTGTAATGGTTTCAGGTATACAGCAAAGTGATTCAGTGTGTGTGTATATATATATATATACACATACTTATTTTCTATTCTTTTCCATTATAGTTTATTACAAGATATTGAATATAGTTCCCTATGCTATATAGTAAATCCTTGTTGTTTATCTGTTTTATATATGGTAATGTGCATCTGTTAATCCCATTAAGTCATTGTTTTTAACCTCTTCTACAGTTTTGGTAAATTATATTATCTTAACATTTTTCTGTTTAATCCAGTTTTTCACATTGATTTGCACAGAATTAAAGTAGTTTATTACAATTCTTTTTATTTTCTGTTTTGATGATTTTTTTCCCCTGTATTGTGTTTTTGCACATTTACTCTTTCTCCCTTTTTTTCCTGGAACCAAATAGCTAATGATTTCTCTACTAAACTAGTTTTTTTTTTTTTAACTTAATAATTCTATGTATTTGTTTTCTAACTTATTATTTTTTTCTTTACTAAGTAACTTCCTCTGCTTTCCTTCCATTTATTTTGTTGTTTTATTCCCCTAACTTTTTGAATTAGATTTTTAGTTCATCTATCTTAATTTTTTTTAATATTAAGTATCTAAGACTATGAATTTTCCTCTGGATTCTAGCTTAGTAGTAGTTCACATGTTTTTTGTTGGGTTTTTGTTTTTTGTTTTTTTCTGGTTTATTGCAACACTTTGCATACACAGTGACGTGTTGCTGGCACCTAATGTTCTCGTCTGACAGTAGAAAACCAAAATTTGTTGTCATTTCTTAAAGAATTGAGAAATGCATCCAAAAACTATATAAGTTAAAAGGATGAATTTACAGGTGTAAATGCAAACAATTTCCCAATTCACTGCAGAAGCACTGGGAGTACAGGCTGGTTGCAGCAAGCCACCCCCCAAGTTTCTCCCCCAACCATTCTCAGTTGGTGGTTTCTCTATTCAAAGAATTCTTTAAAATAGTTTAAAATTTCCACATAAAAGGATCTTTGTCCCCCCTAATTTTTACTAATTTCTAGTTATATTGCATTGTGATCAAAGAATGCCATCTTTACTATTTATTGTTTGCATTTTCCTGAGGTTTTTCTTTGTGGCCTAATAGTTCTGTAAACGTTCATGGCCATTTGAAAGAAAAATGTATTCTCTTTTTTTAGGACATATGATTTGATATACCATTAATCAGCTCTACCATGTCAATTATATTACTAAGTTTTCCATAATTTACTTATTTTTTGTTTGCTTGACCTCTCATAGATTGAGAAATGGAAAGGTTAAGTGATTTTGCCAAGTTCTCCATATTAAATGGTAAAATTCTTTAGGAAATGGCAAAACTGAATTCAGGCAGTATGACTTCTGAACCTCAACTCTAGAGAACAACTTGAAATCAATAAAAAGAGCACAGGAGTTTGTAAAGCAATTTAGCCAAGTATCGAGGAAGTCAGGTTATTCTCCGAGAAGCTGAGTAATTATAAAAAATGTAACATGACTCGCCCAGAAGGAACTGTAACTAAGTGGAATGTTGATCAGTGACGTTGCCAAGGATGCGCATACTTAGCCAGTGAGAGGTGTGGCGGGGCAGGGTGCATGCGGTCAAACTGGGGATGGGAAATGTTTAATATCAAGCAAGTAGGGGATGCGCTCCACTAACAATTTGTAAGAGGGTTATGACAGGGGAATATTTTATCCCCTGCAGACCGTCCAACCTTCGACTGGGAGGAAGATTATCAGTTCTGAAGTAGGAGATTCCACCCAGCAGACAACTGCAGGGTTAAGATACAAATGGGGAGGGCCCTAAATTGTTTGCGCAT